AATCTTAGCAGTGCTCTTCTGCAAATGACCAATGAACCCAACTTGTTAGGCCTCACTTTCAGAATACATGTCAGACAACTGCAAACCTGGGAATGGTTGCACATCAATCCCTTAGTACGTTGGCCATACAATACTCAGAGGTCTAAAGATGATTGGCTCCCAGCTCTACTTAGTACCTTAAACAAAATAAATATTAACCTTAGCGTTCCGTTAAGCTCAAATAATCTGGTATCCGAAGGTACCACCCTGATTTCAGACCTCATCACGCCTATCTACAGAAATCATGTTTTGGATCTCAGAAAATGTTCAGTTCTTTATGCTGAACAACTAGTCAATTGTGTTGGTAACTACATGTTCTCTTACAAAGACCTCATTCACATTACGTACCAACAAACAAGGTTTGTTAGAACCCCCAAATGGTTTACTATCATGGAACAGTATTTAAAACCATCTTCAGATAGATTCATCACCAGAACATTCCTGCACAACCTAATGTATGGTTACACACTAAAGCAACAACATCTTACCCCTAGCTACAGATCGTATGCTGTGGGTTGGATTTTCAATCTCAACAGTTTTGTCATTGGCCGCATCATCCATGCTGACCTAAGTAATTTGCACCTCAGACATTATAATTTTGAAAAAGCAACTGATCATAGTATCAAACTAATCCCATGCCTCCGCTGTTCCCTGTACAATCAAAATACACCTTCAACAAACAAATCATACTGCTACGTCAGTATCCCTCGTATATACTATGCAGTATTTCACAATATTTATTATGATAGTTCCAGTTCAACAGCGCTATCCATTGGTGCTCTAAATGAACTAGCTCTGACTTGTGCAATTGCGTCCTTTCAGCCCCATATCTTAAATGTACCACCCTTTGTGCCTCCTCCTACATATAGCTCTTGTATAGATAGATTTATTCCTTCTTCCTACAAAGAAGAACTACTAACACTTTCTTCTAATTTTGTTTTTGCTTTTGAGTTAGAATTTTACACCGATGGATCTCTTACAGACGTCAGTCTTCCTTCAATCAAAATGGGGCTTGCTTGGTTACAATTCCACCAAAATTAGCCTATAGTTTCTTTCAGCATCGCTTTGACCTCCAGCTTTCCATCATCGTCAATATCTGAATTTGCAGCTCTTTTCACAGCACTCCTGACTGCCCTCCAAATTGCAAAGTCAGAGTTTATACTGACTCAGCCATTATCATATCACAGTTCAACAAATTTAGTTTCTTCAAGAAGCAGTCTCCTACTTTCAGACCCTTTCTGAAAATCAACAATTTTGTGCTTTGGTCTTGTCTTTTCGAAGTGATCTCTGTGCACAATCTGGATGTTCACTTAATAAAAGTCAAAGCGCATTCAAACAATCTTTTGAACAACAAAGTAGATGCTATGGCAAAAGATGCTCTCACCCGTCCTGTCTTGCAATTTAATATGATGGCTGCTCCACAAAGCTTCTTTAATTACAACAACCAACCTATTCTTCTACTGATCAGACAACTTGTAAAGGACATCTTCCGATACAAGCATCTTCAGCAAATTTTATCACTGCATGTAGTCAACAAATATCACCCATTCTTCAAAATTAATTGGTTCATTACCTCTTTCTGCCTCAGTAACAATGTTACTATTAATCACACATCATATGTGGCATCTACCACAAGAATGAAAAAATTCTAACGACTGCTGGAAATGCTTCCTACAGTTGAAATTTTGAAATTAGACACCCGTCTTTGTTCCCGCCCTCAGCCCTGTATCCCTGATGTGAGGCTGCAGACGAGGATTTTTTCCATATATGGACCTGTCCGATGGTTGACTATCAAATGAAACTGCTCATAAATGTTCACAACTTTAGCTGCATGTTCATCCCTCATGCACTTCATTTACGAAGAATTACAACGTTTTGGATTGAAAGGTGTACCCACCAATCTGCCATTGAGAAAGCTGCCAATGTTAACCTTAAAGATAAAAAGGACAATTTCACTTCTTCAGGTTTTGATCTTTCCCCTAGTATTCCTACCAACAACAACAACGTTGATCCAATAAACACCATGGTGCAACTTGAATCCTACTGGACGAATTTTTGGTGCAGTAGTGGCCAAGCCCTCTCCTATTTTACTTTTCGTTTAAATACTCAGAAGTGATAGTTTTAGCTTAGGTTAGAATTAATCCGAGAGAGTGCAGGGTCGGTCTTTTATAGTCTAGTTTTTCTTTCTGTACGAGATTTTTATTTTCTTTTTGATCTGTATTTTACTTTATATTATACTTTTATCATAATAAAGATTATGTGAAACTATCACATTTTAAAATAAAAAAAAAAAAAAAATATTTAATATAAATAATAATATAATAAACAATTATTAATTTATTTAATCAACTTTGTTATTTCTAATTTAATGATAATAAATTATTCAAGAAGAATGATTGGTTGACCTGAATTTTTATCAGATCAGGTCAGATCAGTTTGACCTGTTGACCCGACCTGACATCAACCTGAAAATCTATTGACCTGACCTGAATTTTTAGGTCAGTTCGGATCAGGTAAACAGGTTGACCTGACCTGATTCAGAGCTCTAGGATTCCGTAATCAGATGCATAAAAATTAAAACTTACATTCAATTTTTGATCTCTGATATTGTGAGATACGGAAAAATATTCTTTAATCTTCCTTAACTCTGACTAACTAAGAGTATGTCTTTTTGAAGGAAAATATAACTCCTCTTCGGTATTAGATTGAGAATATACAAGATGATTTGGATAATATTTGAATATTTGAGAAGGAAAGATAGTCTCATATACAACTTGGTAATATTGTAGATGGTTAAACATTTCCTATATATGTACGTTATTAATTATATTTTTATAAGAATGTAATTGTGATCAAGCCAAAGAAAGCAACATTCCACAAATCCTCTCCATAGGAAATTACCATGTGGCCCAACATGGACCCGTATTTTCTATGCTATAAGCGATATGTAAAAGATAATGAAAGCATAATTTCATTGTACTTAATCACCCTCTAAATTTCGATAATATTCTCTTAAAATAAAAGTGTAAATACAGTCATATACTTTGATTAAGATGATATTAAAAAAATTTGTATAAGTTTAAATTGATAATACTACTTACTTTTCATAATAATCATAAAAGGATCGAAATAGAGACTAAATATCACTAATATCTTTAAATGTCAATAATAATTTTTGACACAGACACATGGTTTTAACAAAATTCGTCCATTCTTCGTAATGTCTTTGTAGCATTTTACCTTTCAATAGAGGTAATGAATACATAGTAATCCAGGCAGCCCACTCTTCAGCTTTATATCCTTTATAATATAACACAATATTATGAGATAGACATCTAAGATAGGCTGGAAGGCTTTTTCGAGCATAATGCATCTCATTACCAATTGTATTCTAAACATTCTGACTGAGAACATAGTCACCAATGTCTTGACTACTATCATTACTAAAAAATTTCCTGTTTACAATTTAAACATATAACATACTATGTTCTCATATATAAGATACATTAGATCAATTAGAAAAGAACTAGGAAAATGAGTCGCTTTAAGATCGAAAAGTATACTACAACCTCTTATTCTTATTAATAAAATCATAAATACATGGTATATATTAAATAAATATAACAAAGTTCAGAAAATATTTGTAATTATACTTACCAAATTCTGTTACCAATTTTTTTCTTTCTTTTTCAGTAATTGATTGGTTTAATTAAAAATCTGATCCTTAAATTGTTCATGGGTTCGTAAGGGTAAATTACTAGGATCATATTTTTGGTATTCGTGTTCTTTTTCTATAGGTAGCATAGTTAGAAAATACACATGATTCAAGTAAACACCATGAATATTACAAAAACGACATCCTTTGTACAAATTATGGCCAGTTAGATACATAAGTTTTGTTAATCTCAGAGTATCGCCTGATTATGATAAAACATGTGCACGTAATAGAAAATATTCTTTTTTTAATCCATCGTAGTAATATATTCTGGCTAAAAGCAATATTAGAACATACATTAATTATATACAAAAAAAAAAAGAAATGAATACTAAAATTAACAAACATTCTAATTCTTTTAGTTCTTTGACTATAGGATACATAAATGAATTAAAGCACTTAGGTTCTTTTGGCCCTGAAATGATTGCTATTATCAGGAGATGTTCTTTTTTAATGCGTTCTTTAGAATATATATTAGCGTTGATCATAAGAACTATCCAATAACCTTCCGTCTTTTGTCAAAAAATCTGGTAACCATCAATGGATCCTGTCAATGCAATATCTCTATCGTCTTCAAAATATCCATTGGATAATAGTTTTTGGTATCTGACACTATCAAATATATCGCTGATTTTACCATCTGATCTAAAACCTTGATGATGAGTATAATTTATATGATATTTTAACCTTTCAGAATCTTTTGGATCTTGATACTGAATCTTAAGACGATCTTTAATGGAAAAAAAAGCCATCTGATGTCGAGAAAGTCTTTTTTCCATCGAATGTCCAGTTTGGTATTTCGATATATGACAATACTCACATAATTCATCATATTTGTATTTTCCTGTATACGTACAGCAAGAATTGATACAGATATCCACCTATGTAGGCTCTATTGGAATAATTGATTGTAGTGTTTGTTTGACTTGAAATAAACTGACATTGCCACCATTAACTGACATCATAGTTTGTCGAAATGTATTGTCCATCAAATTACAATGAGACTTGACTCAGAATAACCTTATAACACAAGTCAATTCATTAGATAAATGTATGTGTTCTCCGGATTCTAAATTAATAAAAAATATTTAAATAATGTTTTAAACGTATTGCTTATTTAATTATCATATTTTATACCTGAAATTTCGATATGAAATATATTCAAATCAGAAAATTCATCAGTTCCATTTGAAGATGTTCTACCTGAGAATGGTTCATAATCTATATAAAACTCTTCGAAATATTTCTAACTATCATCAATATCTTGTATAGTCGATCCTTCATCAATATAACCTTCGTCAACGGATAAGTTTTCTGCCCTGTCAGATAAACTCAAAGATGCTTTCCTTTCAGATCTTTAAATATTATTGAACATCAGAATGTAAACGATGACATTATAATAAAACATATGTAGAAATCATATCAGAAAATGAAGATCCAGATAGCTCAACAAAGATAGATAATTCACTTTTAGAACTAGTACAAACATCTGAAAGATTTAAAATTGAAGCTGTTTCAGAACTGGAACTCAAAATAGAGTCTAAGACTGATGAATTTTCATCATTTTGTTTATGATGTCTAGTCCTAGTAGACTTTGGAATAAACAATCCAATCCCTCTTTCTGTATTTTTGTGACGATATTTCGAACAGGTATAAAAAACTTTATTAGATTTATCCATATTAAAAAGTATTGAAATTAAAACTATATTAGAGAATTCAATAAAAATATAAAAATTCTTTTTCTAAAAAAAAAATCGCTTTAAACATTATTCAATTTAAATAGTTCTGTAGTTAGTCATATGATCAGCATCATTGATTTAGAAAACATATAATTGATATAATTAACAATTAAGTTTTAACTGGAAATAGACTTTTTATTTGTAATACAAATTAACTTTAACCAAAAAAGAAATAGTTAAAATAAACTCAAACGTTTATTATTTATAAACTTTTTTATAACCACCTTCCAATTTTTTAATTTTTTTTTAATTCTTTCTGAATTATCTTTCCAAACTAATTGTTCAAATTATAAATATGGCAAAATGTAGAAAAAGTTCTAGTTCTTGAAAAATCTAACGATAATAGTGATATACAAACAGGAGTAGACAAAAAAATCTTGACATCAATTCTAGCTCACGTTACTGCTTTAGAAAATGAAAACAAGGCATTAAAAGCTGAAGCAAAAAAGAAAGTATTAGTTTCAAGAAGTAAAATAGAGACTACAAAAATGTTGAAGTCTAATTATAATAAAAGAAAAGGAAAGAGACATCAAGACTCTAGCTTAGAACGGTCAAGTTCTGAATAGGAGTCAGATGATGCGAGGGTAAAAGATGAATTGTACGGTTGCTTTAAATAAGACATAACATAATTCGACATTGATAATTTTAATTTTTTAAGGATTGTGAGTCTAATACCGTTGATAAAAATCATGATAATTTATCTGTTGCTCTACCGATCCCTAAACCGTCTGGAAAATCAAGCAAATTTGCGAATTTGCATCTGAAATTAAATTTGGAGAAGAACATATATAAAAATTACAGGGTGAATATTATCGAAGTGTATTATCAAGCTTAACTAACTTTTAATTAAGCTTTCCCAATCCAGGCTACCTTTTACAGATTTATTGAACACCATACTCCCATTGGAATTCAATATAAAAACCTTGATAAAAATATTAGAGCTAAAATTATCCCAAGTTCAAGAAAGCTAATCCTCACTTTTCTGATTGTATCAGTGATTGGGCCTTAGTATATCTTATGCATTGCAAAATAAACATTAATCATAAGTATTATATATGATGATGTTAGTCTTTTGGTATATTTTATTTAGTCAACTATATTTTATAGGAGAAAATGCTCGTCGTCAGGATAAGAAAAGTTATATCGAAAATAAAGTCAATTTTTTAAAGTATATAGATGTCTTATATAAACAAATAGAAAATTAATGTGTATCATCATTATACTTTCATATTATAGGTCCAGTCAGTGGTGAGAAGCATGGAAGGACGAATCAATCAACCATCAAAGGTGAGAAGTGCGGAAGGATAAATCAACTGATTGTCAATGATGAGAAGGTGGAAGGTTGAATCAACCGATTATCAATGATGAGAAGCATGAAAGGAAGTGTACTCAAAAAAAGATGACTTCTACTAACCATTATTCTGAAAGTCATGAAGATTCTTATGGTAATGTTGATGATGAGCTTGATAAAACCTCGAAAGATTATACATATTACTCATTATCTAATCCTATACTAATTTATTATCATAACACAAGACTCAGAAAGTTCTAAGGATAATGTCGAAGAGAATAAAATGACGGATAGTGTCTCTTCATAAGGTGTGCTCATTTATTTCTCAATTGTATAATACTAAAGAAAGATATACAAAAGGTGAAAAGCAAATTAATGAAAAACAAAAATTAATTTTTATATATTTCAAAAAAGGATCAGAGTCCAAAGATCATAATCTATCACTACCTGATTCGGATGACAAAGAATCAAAGCCTCTTAAGAAAATTTGTATTTCTGATTTTGATAAGTTGACATTGTAAAGGATAACTGGATCATGCAAAGCCAAATCATCAAAAAGATCATTGAAACAAACTCTTGTATCAGGTGATTTAACGTATGTTTATAAAAATGTAATTATCTATTTTATTCGAAAACAAGCTATACTATTACTCAATTTTTATAATTATAGAGAAAGTGAAATAAAACTGCAACAAACTGTGCCTCGTAGATCCCTTCGAAATAAGTGTTCAATCAATGATGTTGACAAAACCGGCAAAAGATAATAGGAAAAAATACGATCGCTTGATTTTAAAGATTCTATATTTGCATATTAGCATTGCTATAATGTTATATAAAACAAATTCGTAAAATGGTTATAATATGTATAACAATTGTATAATAATATACATTCATAAATCGAACAAATATTATCCAAATAGAGATACATTCATAACATAAAGTAAACAAATATATGACTATAAATTATCCAAATAGGGCTCATTTTTCTTTACATTTAATATTCATAATATAGTTATAATATGGTTATAATGTGGCTATAATGCAGTTATGATGTGTTAAACTTCTGTACATTTAATGATAAGTATACATAAATAAAATAGATAGTCAAATATTATACATTTTATGAATATAGAATTTTTATTGGGAAAGAGCTTAATTATAGCAATAATTATCTTTTACAATATTCATACTTGTTAAGAAATAATTATATCAGCAAGGCTATATAGTTGTTAGAGATACATATTGACTTGACATGTTAAAATAGATACAGAATTCTGAATATTATAGTATTTATAAAATAATATACTGTTCAGCCACAGTAGGAGAACAGTATGTGACATAAATTAGCATGTTTTTGATCTTCATTAAAGTATATATGATATAATGTTGAGATTTTCAATGTACATTCTGCATGCCCTTATTCTCAAACATAAAATTTTAGCGTAAAGTGCCTTGCATATTCTCCTGTCCCTTTTCCAACATGATTGCAAGCCTAGAGGAAAGTAAATGGAGTCATTTAAAAGGGCAGTATAGTGAAATTATTATACCTTTATGTTATTTTTTTACTTCACTTAGCAGAGCTTTCTCTAACATTTAACCTTCACTTTATTAAAACATGAAAGAATTTCTTTTAACGAGAAAGCTTCTTGATATCATCAGAATCTCTACAGTATTATTTGTATGAGTAGAGGAAGGTGAATGTACAAGCAATCTCGAAAAAGAGGTAGAGAACTTTGAAAATGTTTTAAAGCGAGTTATAGAACAAGTTCCCTCAGAGAATATTGAGTGGATAAAGAAGCTTCAAAGTTTTGGTACTGGGAAAAAATTAGCTAAACGGGTAAAGTGATAAACTATTTTCATGATATATATATGGATATGATGATATGCTTTTTTAGGTTTTCTAGTATGGTATAATCACTAGCGAAAAGGCTGATATCTGTTATAATATTATTACTTTCTGCACAGCAGTAACTAGTTTTATATCATATATTAGCATATATGATAGCTACATATCAAACATTTTGCTAGCACTTAAAGCTTTATGAAAATGGAAATCTAATCTGATCTCACGATGTAATATTAAATTATTTGTCAAATAAGTCTTGAAAAACTAATATTAGATACATTTTTAGATCGCAACAGCATTCAAAGATCTTTATACATTCTCATAAATGAAAGCGTTAGTAATTGATACTGAAACCTAACATAAAGATGCAAATGCAAATTTACGATCTTTGAAGCGTGATATTGAATAATGTAAAAGTGAGAGCGTTAGTTATAAGAAAATTATGTAAGAGAGAATAGAAACAAAACTTAAGAAAATAAATGTGAAGAACCTTGGATTCAATCATCTGATTTGTTCAAGTGTTCTAGATATCAAGTCAGAACCCTTTACAAATATGTCTGGGTCAATTTCTAATATTTTAAGAAGCCATTTTGAAAATATAAGTTAGAACAAAATCATGATATAATAGAAGTTTGTAAAGAATTTATTCAAAATGAAAAATCAAAAATTAACATAAGCGAGGTTTTGGATAATATTAATTATAAAGAATGGTTAGATAAGTCCGAAGAATTGCAAGATCTAACAAAACAAATATTAGAATATATGTAAGTCATCGGCAAGCAATTCTTGCCAAAATCTATTTATATGATTTTTTACTTTGCTTACTAACCAATAAATAATTATAGACTCAAGGTTTGAAAATCGTCAAAATATGATGCATATATAAAGAAGGAGAAATTGATAAATGAAGGATCATATGTTTATGAAATGCTTATGTCATTATTAAATATAGTAATGAGTGATTTATCAGGAAACCTGATAGCATAGGACATATAGTAGGCTTAGCTCAAAAAGTTTCATTACTCTATTATCATATCTGCTATAATTAATGTTTTCTAAATTAAGGGGTGAAAAAGGGAATTCAGCTAGTGCCATATGAAAAGGTTCTCGTAAAATTGTCTGAAGAGCTGATTATATAATGGTAGCCTAGTTCAGAAAAAATGTTGAACTTAAAATTATTTATCTTGAGACCGGTAGACCTAATTCCAGTCAAGATAAGCAGAATCGTGATTACAAAAAATTAATATGTTTTTCTAAGAATTCTATCGACATTACGAGAAATATAAAAAACCTTAAAAAAATATTTAACCAACCATTAAAAAGGCAGAATCTAACCATATTCACTATTAACATCGCAGGTACAAATAAATTATTTCTATTTTTTATATATTCATAAATTGTTCATATTTTACTTTATCCACTTCTAGGTGATGTTATGAAACTTTATGCTATGCAAAAAGAATCAGGCATTTATAAGTACTGTTTAATAGAAGAGGCAACAATTTTATTACATATGACTTCACCAAGTACTATATATCAGCTTATCCATACTTTATTGACATTGAGAATGGCTGTAACCTGTATAATTCATAAAATATTATATAGTCCTGATTCTAGTGATAGTGAGCATAGTTCTAGTGAAATAGTAGTAACAGTTTCGATCCCAAAAATTCATAGAATAGAGATTTGATACATGTATTTTAATAAGTTATATTATTAATAAAGCAAGTGCATCAGTTAATAAATATTTTTCTTGACAAATTTCGCTTATAGGCTGTGAGGGAAAATCACATGATTTTTTATTTTTGAATATTAATATACTGTTAACATGTAATTCTTATGAACTACGACTATTAGACGAGATATTCGAGCGATTTATTCTTTTTAATTGAGTAGTAATCTTTTAACGGTTAACGAATTTTATTTCAGACTGATTATCAAAAGTATTTATACTATTATGACGGGCAGTAATTCAACAGATTGCTAATGATTTATAATTGTAAAATAATGTGTTTATTTACAAGTAAAATAATAAAAATAAAAGAAAAGAAATAAAAGAAAATAAGAAAATAGAATAAGAAAAGAAAAGAAACAAATTACTAAAACTAAAATGTAATGCAGTAGGCCAGCTGCCTTTAAAACTACTAAAACTAACTTGTCGAATTCCTATCTATCTGTCTTTTTACATGAACTAAAAAGCTATTTATTTATATAAAATAAATTACATAGAGAGATATAACTAACATGTCTACTATATCAACTATGTCTAATATATCAACTATATCTAATATGTCAGTTATGCCACATATGTCTGATATTATATCAAATTGGTTGATCTCTTGCGTTACATAAGCTACATCACGTTTACCTATTCACAATACTAATACTACATTATACAAGCATACAATTTGAAATAGATAGTCCTGATAAGACTGATTCATATTAGTGAGCTTAAGGCCAGAATTGTGAAATTAGAAGATAAACAATCACAAAATGAATTAGTAAAAAATTTATTATCTATACCGTAAAAAATGTAATCCTATATTAATACTGGCAAAGTGATCAGTATTACAATTTGTAACGTGCACGTGATTTGATCAGAGTTAATATTTTAAGCTAATCTCTAATTGTATCATGACATTAACGCGTAAATATTTCTAGTAGTAGATTTCTTAAGTAATGCTATGGTACTGATATAATAAAGTGGTCATTTTTTTTTGAAATTTTATGAAATTCTATTTTTTGCGTAATGTATAAATATATAATGGCATTTAATCAGGTATATTTTAACTTGTTAGCAAAATTATCAGATTTCCTAATGAATGAGGCATAGATTCATCTTACATTATAGAAATACAAACTATTATCTAAGAAGGAGGCCAGTAAAATTAATCCAATTGTAAAATCATTTTTAAAACATGAAGTTATTAGATACTAAAAGAGATTAATGCTCAAAGACGAACCTAAAGTTGGCTGAGCCAGATGCTAAAGCATGATCATGAAGAAGAGAATAATCGCTGAGCTATAAATGAGTTTAAAGTACTATTTCAGCACCTGCTCGATTATAATAGATGAACTTTTGAGAAATTTATGTATGATATAGAAAAGGAATATAGAGAGCAGGTTAATGCAAAAAAGAAAATATGTTATAAAATCAAAGATCTGAAGATGCAAGTGCTGAAGGTGGAAAAAGAGCTGGCATCTATGAAGTTAGATTCTCACTAAAAAGTGATATATCCTATTTGAGATGTATTCTATATGGATATTCACGAGGTACAGTTAGATCGAAAATAATGAATTTTGCTTACATAAATTTTTATCAATAATTTTAATCAAACTACACCAGTCATTAGCATATTAACGCACAATATGACTCAGCTTATTTGCAGTGCATGATTCGTTAAATAGGCAGACATGTGTAAGATTTTTTCATATTATCTTTGGGCAATCAAAGTAACTCTGCAATACATATATCAAACTGATATTGTAATAGCGTCCTTCAACAAAATAAGGGATGATTTTCTCTTGCACTTTTTTAGATCAGCACATACATCTTCGAATATAGTCGCTATACCTCTATCCAGAGAAAAGAAATCCACCTTAGAGATTTTATCAGACTTTAAAACTCAGAATGTAATATTTTCACAATATGGCTTTGGACTATTTGCAATTATCTGGAATGCTGATTTGAGATACATATATTTCGGTTCTTTGAGTTAGTGACTGATGAGTAGTAAATCATTACACTTGATATAACGTATTCCTTCTTTTTTCCTATTAAACATTCAATAAAGCTTATTTCTGAGCATGAGATTGAAAACCTCATTAGTTTTCCTTGAATTAGTACGGTCACAGATTAGTAAAGTAAAAGACCATTGGAGAATACTTGAATGTCCATTATATTATTTGGCATCTTTAATCTTATTAATATAGTATACAAGCCTATCAATAGGCTCAAGCTTTTTTATTTTCATTTCGAAGTAACTATTATTAATGATATATTAAAATAATCTTACAAATTTGCAGGATCACGCGATCTCAGAAAAATGCCAAGAAGATAATTCTTTCTAATCTAACTTGAAAAATTACTCAAGAATCCTTTTTCAATAAGTGTATGCTTAATATAGGGAAAAGATCAGCAATATAGGGAACTTCGATAAGGCATATATCTTAATCCTACATATATCCTACTTCTTTTGATCGTGTATATTTTGTGATTTTAGATTTTCATTCTCCCAGTAGTAGAAACTATTATGATGATAGTATTAAAAACCCTGGAATTCGAATGCAAGACGCAATTCCTCATTATATCTATCTAAGTGTAACCTATCTAAAAACTTAGCCCTACATAGTGAGAATTTCTTGCCTAGCAGATCCTTAAAAATATATCGGCAATTTCTTTCTCTAGTGTGATAACATAGCGGACACCATTCGAATTTTTTCATGATATATTTTAGTGAATACTCCTACTGATACGCATCATTTTCATAGGACCAAAGATAAATATTATGACCATTTACTCACCCAATTCTTTCTAGACATTGGCCACCACATTTTCAGCATAACCAATGGTTTGGTTTAACTCACTAGGAAAAGCATAAATGAAATTTACAGATAATATACTTTGAGATGAATACCCAACTTTTTCTGGGTCAACTATTAATATGAGTTCTTCTCGTACAAACTCATGTGATAGAGCATATTCATCATCACTTCTGAAATAATATAAAACTGGTTCATTCTTTATCATAACTACTTTTCAAATTTTATGAAGACTTGGACTCCATATCAGATCAGTTGCCTACCTTTGATTTTTCATACCCCTTCCTATTCTGCATTAGCAAGTAAGTAGCGAATAGTATCACCTTTCTTTAATGCTATTTTATCTTTTTCAACCAGACGCTTATATTTTGTAAATGGTTTAGATTCTACTCGTTCTAATGTAATAGCTTTCATTGGCTCAAATTCTCATTTTTCTGATCCTGGTTCTTGAATAAGATACGTAGAATAATTATTTAGATAATCAATAACTACTGATATATATTTAACTCATACTCTTATTAATTGAGAATCAAAAGATATCGATTCAACAGCATATTGCATCTTATATAGAATTTTTGAGAGTGTCTGATTAAAACACTCTATGAAGGCAAGTCCCTATGACTATATAAACCAATCACCTGAATTGTAACATCATACTCTTGCATTAGACGGGAAGTTTTACCTATAAATTCATGACTTCTGTCACATTGTAAAAGCTTTGACCAGGATAACGGATTATTTCGAATACCATATACCTTCCTAAATGCTTTAACAACCTCTGAACTATTCTTTGATGTAATGCTCTGAACGATTCAGTTCAGTTCAGTTCAGATTATAAATCTTAAAAATGCTAATCTGAAACTGAACTGAACCGTAAACTGATAAAAATCTGAACTAAACTGAAAATTTTCAGATTGAATTTTTTGCAATCTAAAACTAAACTGAAGTTGATTTGAACTGAAAATTTTTAGATTAATCTGAACCGTTCAGAGCTTTACTTTGATATGAGTGAGACAGAAGCCTTATATCGAGAAGTGCAATCTATAATGTTAAGTATTGTTTTATATTTTTTATCTTTATAGTGATTATGAGTAAGAAATAATATATTGCACTGGTGTACATAATTGGGACGTGTTATTCATCTATAGCTAACTTTAAGGATGTATTTTAGAGAGGTTTTATTAATTTGGTATGACTCTTAATTCTCTAAAAAATCTTTGCATTTACTTAGGGAAATTGATGCCCTTCTTTTTTACACATACTTCTTAAAGATTTGAAATTAGAATAATATCAGTCAGATGATAATATATTTCACGCAATATGATATTTTTTTTAATTTTCTGAGCCTCATTCGATTTATTACAATTTGCAGTTGACTCATTCTATTTCTCTTTTTATAGTATTGAAAAAGAATGGCATTCTGCAGAATTCACCCAAGGCAGAGAAGAACATGTGAAGAACATAAAGCTGAGCTAGAAAAGGAAAATTTTCATCTTCGTAGTAAATTGCAGACAAAAATTGATAGTAATCATCAGAATGAAAAGTAGATCAAAGAGCTAGAACGTGAATATACCTATTGTGAGCAAGAAATTCAGGATCTTAATAGGGAAATAGAGCGTCTTGAGAATGCTTCAGAAGAAGAAATATCAGAACTGAAATCTGAAATTTCTATTCTAAAATCTCAGCTATATCAAGCCAAGAAGGATGTAAAAGATAGGGAAAAATATATTTCTACTTTAGAAAATCAGTTGGTAGAGTCCGAAGAGTAGGTAGAAAAATTGCAATACTAGATTAAGACTATCTTATCATGGAAAAATTTACCTGAACAAGGGAATTCTTCAGATTTGTATAATTCTAATGATAATATGGCCACAATTACTGAGCTAGCAAATGCTATAATAGTTATCTAGACAATAGAGTAACAGCTAAAGTTATTCTAATAGATCAAATAAAAAGAGCAACAAGATAAATTCATAAAAGAAAATAATTTGCATTAGGATATAGTCTGAAAGCAAAGAAATCATTATGACGCAGAAGCTGAGCGTGATAATGAAATTATACAAAGATAACTTACTAAAAGGATAAAACAAAGAGCTATTGCTGACCTTCATCAGTTACAAACTAATATTCAGCAATATCAAACTAATACTCAAAATCAGGTAAATAAAATGATAGGTAATATAGTAAGAAAATAAGCCTGTATTGGTGAATTATTACGAGAAAATTTTGCCTTTTGGCTATTATATCAACAAAATGCTTACTATTTACAATAATGTAGAGTGAATAGGAGTTTGTAAGAATATAATAGAGATAGGCTCTATGAGCGTTATGAGAAATAGAAAAATAAAACTCAAGCAGAACACCAGAATATTTTAAATTTACAGGCAGAAATATTCGTATTTCAAAACAATCTTCTATATTTAAGGATAGTAGGTTATGCACCAAAAAGATTTTCAGGTAGAGCAGATGAAGATATAGATGAATTCATAAAAGATTATAGACTTTATCTTACAGCGAGTAATATCACTATTGCTAATCAGACTGATAAACAGAGAGTTTTAGAACTATTTCGCTCGTATTTAACAGGTGAGATATTACGCTAGGTCAAAGATAAACTCATAGGTAAAAATAGCGATTAAATCATGTAACTCTTGGTAATAACTTAGCCAATATGAGTGCCGTAAGAGCCTTAAATAATGCTAATATAAATAGCACTATGATCAATGCACTAGAAAGTATCTTATCATCAGTGTTACCAGCTAGAGCTACTAGCGTCACTGTTATTCTAATGCACAATGTTCACATGGATGAAGATTGGTCTCTTGTCAGAGAATATTCTATAGATACTGATACAACAACTAATGCACTAAATAGTGTTACAAATAACAATAATCTTATAGTTCTTTCTGATATTAATATAGCCAGGTTATCTATTAGTTTAAAAGAAATTATCCTACAGTTGTTTGAGAGTAACAGGAATTGATTTTTGATACTTTGACTCAAGGTTCTGATTCAGTTAGAAATTATTATAGAAAAATAGATAAATATGCTAGCTAAGCTCAAATATCTGATCATGAAAAAAGAATACAATTTATATGTGGCTTATCTTCTGAAAACAAGTTAGAATTGAAGTGACTGGGTTTAACAGACCTTTAACTGATGAATTAATTGAGACATTGGAAAAGATTGAAATGGCAAGAAATAATTTGCTTTTGGGTGAGAATATTTATAACCAGCTAGCTACTAAAACAAACTAAAATACAGGGTATTATTACAGAAGATGTTGATAGGATTGTAAATAGTAGGATTCAGGTATTGCAATAATCAATACTAAATCAATTACTGTCATCTTCTTTTGGTCAGAAAAATATTGCTAAAGCTGATTTACAATCTATTATTAAATCCTTACAAGAGATTATGTCACGAGTGACTAAGACTTTAGATAATAGTAAAAAATCCACTAATAAGAGAACTGACGATCTTGTTGTTAGACATTTTTTAAGTGACCTACTAAGAAAAAATCTAAGTAAACATACTGCTGATGAATATGATTATAATCTTATAGATGATATTTCAGATAGTTTAGCAGAATTGACACTAAATACAGTTATAAATACTACTATAAAATATACTATTAAGAAGTTATCTTCAAAGCAAAAATGTTCCTACTATGATAGATCTGAACATAATTCCTGAAACTGCCCTTAAAAGAAGAAAAAGAAATGCAAGAAGTCTAAAAAGGATAAGGTTAATCTCGCTACTGTAGATTCAGGTTCAGATTCAGGTACTTCCTCTGATAGCTTTTCTAGCGATAGTTCTGATTCTGATACAAGTTCTTCTGATTCTGAAAGTAATATCACTATTAATATTGCCAAGACAAAAAAAAAAGTGAAGCAGAAGTCTACTGTCATGCTGAGAGAAATTTCACTAGATGAAATTATTTGTAAAGTCCTTCTAAATGTATTTAAATTAATTTATTCTGAATGATTTTCTCATGAATCTAGTACCATTATGTTTAAATAGATAGTGGCTCTTATAGAGGCGAAGATATTATCTCAAAGCAATATCCTTTCAGCCTCTAAAGATTCATCTCCAGATGAGTCCAATCTAAAGGAGAAGTCCTTAGATAATCCTATAGAAATCTATTTCATTCAGAAAAAGTGGCCAAAAATAAGTGTTGCGACTGTAAAGTGTAAAATTAAGCGTTTAAAGATTCCAGCTATGACTCTTTACTCTGAAGCTGAGCCTCTAATTATAACAAAAAATATTATTGATTGCATTAAGGCTAAAATTAATAAATTTGAAAAATATGACCTTAGTAGTATCACTACTGTTTCTATTGAATCTATTGGTATTGTCCGTAATTTGCCAATTACCTTAGCCCAGAATTCACTATTTATGACAATTTTTTAGTTGTAGATTATCATAAGCCAACACTAATATTTTCTAACTAACTCTTAAAGAAATATGAATGCGCAGTGAACTAAAATACAAATAAGCTAAAGATTTCTTTTAATGAAAAAAATTATATTATTCTGATCATCATACACAAAGTCAAAAACAAGTTTAAGGTGAATTGCGTAAACATTACTCCTGAATGTGATGATCTGTCAGCTCTGAACAAAGTTTCTCAGGACTTTCAGGACTTTTAGGACTTAAGTGAAAGAATATATTAAAAAATGCATGAGCTATGAAGAGCTTGAAAAACTGTTATATGATACTCTCATCTCCAAAGCTAGATTAATTGAGATTAATAAAAATCTGCAATCCTTTTCTTCTTGCTAACTATTCATCATTTGTTATGTAAATATAGTCTCACTAAAATTCTGTAAAGCATTTTTTGTCTGAATATAATTAAAAGATGAGTTGTAACCTAAGAGCTTTTCTGATTTACGTATAGCTTTTTCTAATCCTTTTAATTGAAGCAAATATGTCATGCAAGATGTCTAGGGTGGAGTTTTGATAAAGACCTCTGGCTGAAATCTCAGGTAAGTCAGAACTTTGAATAGATTTAGGCTAGTCCTGGAGTGAGTGCTTCATTAGTTTCTTTTTTGCTTTTCTTGCACATTCATTTCATAAAATAAATCTAAAGATCCTAAAATTAGATGATTATTTTCTTTATCTTGTGGATTATTCTCTGAAAAAGAGACTAATGAGATGGATTGTATCTTCTTAAGCTTCTTGAAAAAGTGGTTTTCATTTTGCTGTGAATGCTTACAATCATTTCATATATCATGAACACGATTTTATTAATATGATACTTTTTTACTATCATGTATACTAAAACCTTATTTTTGAGATATCTAATTTCTTCAATTTGGCCGGGTGTTAAAATGGTAGCACTCTACTGATAATAAGTTTTTAAAATTGAGGTAGACATACTTCTTATATATTTTTAGATGATGTATTTAGATATATAAAAAATATAAAAAATTAATATTTATCGTTTTAGATGGATAATAAAAATTAAAATTCAATAATTACTATTTTAGGATAAGAGAAAACATTAGAAAGCATAATTTATTGTTTAGATGAGTAAAATACATTCTAATACAGTATTTAAAATAATAATAAAAAATAATTAATAACCTTCGTGTTCATTTTTTATTTATTGTGATTATTCTTTAACATAAAATTTGAAAGTTTTTTTTTACATATTTATGGCTAATGTAAATAAATGAGAATATATGATTTTGAAAAAGAGATATGTCGCATCTTATAAGACTCATTTAAGATATAAGACTATAATACTAAGTTGCAGAACGAATACATGAAGATCAATGATGAGGCCAAATGGTTGAAAGTTGAAAATTTTAAACTTTTTTTCAATATTTTTGTATGGAAACATCTCTCGTCAAATATAAAGTTGAATGTCATGCAAAATCAAAGGAAGTGAAATCGCTTCAATTTGTGATTAATTCATTACCCGATCCCTCCAGGACTCCCAAGATACTTTGATGAGAATAATCAGCAAGATGGTTCTGAAAGGACTAATTCATATATAAAAAGTAGGCCAATAAGCGCTTTGCATAACGAAAAAAATAATGAGCTAGAAAGCTCTAATGCTTCTTCAGAATAAATCATATCTACTACTATTTCTAAAGAAAAGATTTTATTAGGTAATGCATGAAACCCTATCGATATAAATAAATTATTATCATCGGTACTCACCTGCTTGATAATATTTTTTCTATTAATCGTAATCATATGGTTAGTCATTGTGAAAAAGCTACAGAATTTGAAGAGCATTATGCTGAAAGAAAAAGTTGGATATCCTACCCACAAAAAATATATAAATAGAGAAAAGGTACTAAAGGTATTAGATAGGCTAGGGATAATATCTAATTATCTACTGTATGAGTATTAGCACTAGTGAGACTTTTTTAAATCTTTTTTCAATGCGGGCTAATATCATTTTTAGTAAATCTTTGGGTTTGTTTATTAAGACATTTTCTGCTTGAAATACCGTATATGCTAATAACTAACTAATATGAATTCAGTCACCTCCTTTACCATTATGCTTATGCTGTAGTAAAATCGATGGTCATCTATTACAATATCTTCTATTTCCTCCTGTTTTGATATAGTCTCACAAGAGATCCTTACTTATCCTCTTCTGTAATCAGGAGACAAATTTTGTTAAGTTCGAAGCCTATGTACTGGGAAACTTGATCACGTAGTTCAGCCATTATACTAATAAAGCTTATCTTTAAAATATGTAAATTTTTTCAATTGATCATTATCTAGTTAATGGTTTTGCCAAATTATTATATGCGAAAATACAAATGATTATCTTTGGATATATATGAGGCCTAACTATATAATCAGAGGTTATAAGAAATGTTTATCTTGCAAATCCAGATTGAATATAGGAATTGAAGTTAGCCAGTATTATTACACAAGAAAAAATATGCAGTCATAAATAATATTGTAAGTATTCTAGCAAAGGTGTGGCAATTTCAGCTAAGAGTACTTAGAAAGTTTATTGTAAAGCTTTTATATATTTTCAAGCTATTTTTTTGCATCTTTTTGAAAATAATTATCGATTTTCTTTTCCTTCACATCTGAATCTTTGAGTTGCATAATTTTATGTGAAGGAGGTGATTGGAATATATCATTCTCATTAATGAATCAAACGCATATTCCTACCATTTTTCCTAAGTAGTAATTGATATCTATTTCTATGTTATGCTCTTTTGTGATATCTGCATACTCCATATAATCTTTAACTTTATGTGATACAGTCACACCTCGATATAACGAAGTTGCTGATCCAGCCGATCAGGACTTCGTTATAAGAATCTTCGTTAACGCT